ATGTATGAGACTCGACCAATACTAGCGGTAATGAGATGCTTTTCTTTCGCATATTGTGTAACCTTGTTTAGAAGTATTATTTCCATTGCTATAAAGATAACATTGCCTAGTTATAAACAAAAAAACTATTATAGGTCATACACGGTGGATGACACTCTTGCTTAAAGGCAGTATGATCTAGATATAGTGGATATCTTAGTTGATACAAAATATACTACGAATAAGTAGCCCTTATCAAGAGTTAGATGGGTTGATGGAGTCTTCTATATAATTTGTTAGAGACATTATCATCCATGTTCAGCGCATCATGTTTTGGCGAACAAAGGAAGAGAAAACACAGTACCTGTCCCCTTGTATAGCTACGAAACCATTAGAGTTGCATCTCTGCCTTCTTGCGTTGCTGCTGTGGTAAAGTGGAAGCACATGTCAGACAACATTCTAATCCCCTGCAGTTCGATTTGGAACAGTCCTTGCAGAACAACCTGGGCCCACTTGCTAACTTTCTCACGCGAAGAGGCTTATATCTACAGTGTAGAGCACGAATGCTTTGACCCTAAGGATGCGTAATGATGCCAAGACTTCTTTTGTCAGGACATTAATCTACCTTTCCTTTACTCGTTCACTCTCACATTGTTCTCTAAAATTTCAACCGTTTCTCAGATTTGGTAATCCTCTCCTAAAAAATCTCATGACAGCACGGGATTGAAGGCACTGGAGAATCTTTCAACGTTTTTATTTCATTCTCCTGTGTTGATGTTGTACGTCCTTTCTCTTCTTCTTTTTGCCTTCAACTTATTGACGTACCATTGATCGTGCTGTTGTTTCCATACTTTTCCATGCTCATGTTGGCTATTGGCGGCATATACGGTCCTGTTGCTGTTACCTGAATTCTCGGCACAGTTTTGGCAGGTCTCCCAAAGCTCGTGACTTTACCTTTCGTAAAGCCGGTTGAAACTGTCGATTATACATGTCTCTACAATATCTGAAGTCCACTATTTCTCTTCGGCTCATCAGTTGCTCGTTCTCCACTTGAATGTTGACTCCTCTGTTTCTGTCCTGCATTTCGGTGCCTTGGGATAATGCTTTCTCTTCGGTTCTTCGCTGAAAAAGCTAAGGACGAGAGAGATCCGTATGCTTTGTCCGTTGAGATGTGATCACCCCCATTTTTTAAGTCTATCGGTTTTCCTTATATTCTATCAGCTCTAAAATGGGATATTTGGCATCCTCATTTCTCCATCTGAGCTCAGATTTGGGGGTTGTAACATTCACTTGAACTCTTAATTGTCATTCAATTCTTCTAGGTTCCGAGGAGAAATTGCTGTTTTTCCTTTGAAATCTATCAGTCTATAAGCTTCTTCGCCATAGCCAGTCTTCCATTCTGAGTAGTTAGTCCTTCGGGTCTACTCAGCACCAACGGCAGAGAGGCAGAGGAGAGGCAGGCTCATACCTCACCTCACCTCCAATCTAGACGGGGATCACACTCACTCCTTTCGTGAACATGTCGTTGCAATCACCAAAAAATGAAGTACAACAACCGGAAGAGTTTGGAAGTACAAGAGGAAATAGGAGGAATCGACAAAGGATTGGTTCGAGCTCAGGCTACAACCGAGACCTCACAAGCTCATTCACGGTCACGGGAAAGGACACCACGACCTTCCTCCTCAAAGGACATGTCATACCACAGACAGACAAACGCTTTCCCCTCTAAGAAACCACCCGCTCAAGAAAACTCACCACAAAGTTTCCGAGTTAAAATGCACCTAAAGTAGTATCATAGACCGTGATTTGCCATTTGCCAGATGGCGTGAATCTTTGCGTATCGGTCCGCAGCACTAATGGTGTGATTGAGTAACAATCACGCCATTGAAATTACGAGACCTAGCGCAATGCTCCCCCACTACATGTTTCTGCCTGCGTTCCACACTGGAGTCTTGGCTCTTCTCTCTCTTTTTCTTTCTCTTCCTTCCTCCCTTCTTAGTTTTGCTTTCATTCCTTCTCTTTCTCCCCTCCCTTCTCATAGTTGAACAATGTGATCACAGTCTAAACTTTGAACTGTACGTATACTAACTCATGCTGGAGATTCTACCTCTAGCTGCACAGCGAAGTCACCAAACCTGCCTGCAGTTCTCTCTAATCACAAGTAAAGTCTTCCCTTTCCTCTCTAAGTGTTTTCACTGGAAGAGCGATCAGTCAACCCACTGCCAGTATCTAAGCGGGGGTTTGACTAATTGGGGACCAGCTGAGGCTGGCTCTAATTCCAGTTTTTGTAAAGCTAGGGTGGTTGCTTTAAGCTGGAGGTGGCAGGAGAGGAGAATTCGTGACAAAACTGGCTGGCACTTTCCCGAAAGACATGTATATTGGAAGGGAGTCTAGTTTGGCCGGAAGCGTGTCTGATCTGCATTCAAGTCAACTTCAATGCTCCTCATGTCGATTCTTCTGTGGGTCGTTCCGGGACACTTCATCTTCGAGAAGCGCATCTCTATTCCAAGGAGCTGGCAGGAGTCACTGCGTTCCTTCTGAAGTTGACTCTGAAGAGTTTGAATCCAGGTTCGATCGAGCTTAAAATGGATGATTCGTTGGGACCCGAACACCAGCCAAGTATGACCTGTCAAGAGCTCAGCACGACAGAGATTTACTTCCTCACGTTATTCCCCAATGAATTCACTTGACTTCTTCGTACCTTTTTGTACCTCGGTTAAAACCCATAGAAATAGACTGGTTTATGTTCTAGTGCCAGCAAGCAGCCAGTACGTGGTGCAGTTAGGTGAGAGACACAACTCGAGTAAGGTCCAACAGTCACGATAGGCCGCAGGTTCAAACTTGCCACCCAGCCTTTCGATTCCAAGCTAGTACTCGAAATCGAAAGCTTTGATCTCGTCAAGCTTGCTCTTCCCTACGTCTGTTCTTATCACTGTCACTGAGTCAGGGACCAAACTCTGGTCGATGCGTACGTGGCACTGGTGGCAGTCGCTTAGTCCCGGGGTAAGGGAAAGGAAAACGAGTAGAGTTGGGCAATATGGGCTCAGAGAAAAGTTGGTGCGTCGGACAGATCTGGGACCGGACCTACTGGGCCATCTGGAACCTCGCTGAGGTCCGTCTTCCCCCCAACTCGGGATGGCCAACGCTTGGTTTGAACCCCCGCCTCGGAACCTACGCATGAGCTTCAATCATTTGCAAACCGCGTTGCTGCACCACGAGGACGATGATGGCGAGAGAGTGGCCACCTTCCTACAGAGACCTAGAATAGAAAGATTACGGGGCTCCGAGAGGCCTGGTTGTTGGCTGTCCTTGAAGACCCGGACCAGAACTCTACACTCGTTCCCTCTTACACTCAACATTCAATGCCCCAGAAACGCGCAGCAAAGCCCGACCCTCCAACCTCAGGAACCGAGCAAATATAGCATAAGGGCCGGGAAGACCCCCTCGAGATCTCCCAACCCATGGAGGGAGGAACACGAAGGAAAACCCCATGGACCTTCCTTCCTTCCTGTCGAGATGTCCCGTAGCGCAGCTGGAGGATTTCAAAAGCTTGTGAAATTCACGAGCCAGTCTGATACGAACCTGCCCCAGTAGAAGTTCGTTCAGTCGTTGGGCGTGTTAAAGCTAAATTAACAGTAGAGGTCGGGGCAGGTTCAGGACTCTGACACTCCGTCTGGTTCACTCTGGAGCCTCTGCGTACCTTCTTCGTTCTGCAATCTTATTCCTCTCCTTCGTTAATGACGGGTGTCGACGGTATCATCAAAGCTATATAACTTCCTCAGCCTGACATGCCTACACCTGGATGGCAACGCAGCAACTGTTATGGAATCGTAAACGGCTTCCACCTGGTTCGACTTCGACGTGAGAACTCCGACTTGGAAGCGACTGCTGCACGTCCTTGCGAATTTACTGCGACGAAGTGCCCGATATTCCAGCTCGACAGTCCTCGAAGTACGACATACTTTTTTTTCGGAGGACGGGTTTTAAATCTTCCTCGATCACTCTCAATCGGAAAACTCGTCTCGATGATGGAATTTGCGGTGATGGAATTTGCTGACAATGTGTGGTCTTCACAGTTCCGTTCCCTTCGACGAATACCATTGTGCTTCACCAATCAATTGCTAGTTTTTCTTCTAGGTTCCTCACGTGTCCTCGTCAGTGGCGGGTTCGCTTGGTTCCTTTTGCTTTTGAGACTGTTGGCTGGCTGCTCGAGTACGGCTACAGCATGGCAGCAGGCTTCTCGAGGGTCCGAAGCAGTAGTGAAAATCTCCCAGTGTTGAAGGTGCAGGTTGCACGACCGAACCTGCCCGAAATCAATGCCCAGTGTCCATGGCCGAGTTCAAACCTGAGACCTGCCTGCACCGCGGACGGCACTGTGGGTTCTACTGCTGCCTACATGCTCTTCCGCCGCTCGGGCGCAAATCAAGGCTGGACTGTAATTATGGCATGATTTTAAGCGCTACAATAGCGCTAGCGCGAGGTGGGCTCGATGGCTGTACTATGTACGTCGTTGCGCAAAACGAGGGCACGGTTCTGCACGTCCAGGGAAAAAGGCATGGCACTGTTGGCAGCTGTTCTGCCTAATGATATGTAGCAAGCATGAAGGGTCACGACGGGATCGACCCCAACTCATGATGACGATGAAGGAAGTCCGGTAACCATGAAGGAAGTCTGGTAACCACCGACTAAAACCAATGAAACCCCGAGAAGTACACAACAATCTAAGAAGCGACACTGCCATCGTTCCGAGCAGTGAGTAGGTAGGGTTGAGAACAATTTCGACCCGTGCATGTAACATCCACACCCACACCCACACCCGACCCGAGTCCACAAGGACGACGCATCCCTTCTATGATGCACTTTCCTACTCTGACTGTCGAGGGCATCGATCGACTCATCTTCGAGTGCGCAAATACTCTCCACAGGAACCGACTCAATAGGCACCGCACACACACACAGTCATACACATACACACAGACTCATGTGAAAGCCAGAATCGAGCTGCGTGGGTAGGGGTACTCAAAGGATCGGAGAAATCTCCTATTATTAGACCCATCGTGTATTATAGGATGGCGTAAACTTGCGCGAGCTGTGAGACCTACATTCCTGGGCCGCGAGAGTACAGAGCCACAGTCCCGAATAAGTTTTCGCCGACTTCGCCGAGAAATTTTTTCATGCCGAGAGGGTCTCCATCTTTTTGTTCAATTAAAGGGTTTTTCTAAACGAAACTGGACTGATCCAGAAGGCTTCATTTCAAGGGGGCAAAAACAAGAGGAACAAACAAACGGAACGGAACGAAATGACCCCAGATTCAAAGAACTGTGAAGTTCAGGGGGGAAAAAGTCAGCGCGAGAAGGACATGAGATGAGGGATACGGTTGGGTTTTTTTCAGCTGATTTTTCCTCTTGTAACGATTTTGACAGAATGAATGTAATCTATGGACGATCTGAATGAATGGCACAAATCGACAGCAGATGGCACTGGAATTCGTCGCGCTTCCGATCCCAATGCCGTAGTCGAGGCCGAATTCCACTACGATCGGCTGCCGATTTGCTGTGGCTAGATTCTATCTCACTTCTATGGTGGGTTGCTGAACCTGCCTAAGGAGGACATTGTAAACTACAGCTAGAGTGTGCTGCGAGAAGTCATAAGCTCCTAGCTAGCACTTGTATATTACCTATGATGATTTTGCTAGTGTTTATTATCACAGGGCAACGAATCGAATCTTTACAAAGACGAACTTCTAATGTTACACCCAAGCTGACGACACATCGAGGCAAGACTTTCGGCGGTGGGAGAACGGACCAGGAGGCAGGAGCTAATGTAATCTAGGAGGATGCGGACTTCTCTCATTCTCTACCACACCCAGGGCACGTTGTAATTGCATTCCAAAGGCTCGAGAGGAGCTCGGGGGTATCGCTTGTTGTCGTAGCAGTAGTCGTAAATCTTCCACTTGCTCACGACCCACATCACCTGGTCGCGTCTTTCCTCATCCAGCTTCTGATAATACAACCCCTCCCACCAATTCGCTCGGTAGTTGTGATCGCACGGCGTGCTGCCGTCTCTTTGAACTTCGCAGGCCTCGAAGGCGAAATTCTTGTACTTCACCACGAACGGGGCATACTGCCACTTCACGGGCTTCGTTCCATCTTGCGTCGCCCACGCACTCGCGTCGAATAGACATGCCGAGACAACCATCGGCCTCAGATGAGGGTACGAGCCTGGATATATGTCTTCCAGATTTCTGTAGAATCTGATCGGTATGTAATCCACCAACCATCTGCAGCAGCAGCAGCAGCACTTCAGAAGTCAGCCCGCCAGCATCACAAATCCAATGACATTCATTACACATATGAAAATCCTATGGCAATGAGAATTTCGAGCTCTGCAGGACGATCAAAACGCGTTCGATGGCTCTACTCACAAGATTTGAAAATGGTTCCAGATTATGGTGTACGTGTGGAAGTCCGTAGTCGGATCGAACCACAACTTGATTCGCTGCTCCCTTCCTCCGGTGCCGTTCACGAAGAGATTGGTGTGCAGTGTATAGGGCTCGCCCGTTTCGTTGCCCAAAAATTCAAAATCGATTTCGTCATGATTCTCGCCGAACGAAGTGAGCTGTCGACACGAAACAGACGTTCGAACGATGAATAACAGACGGCGAAGCAATAAAAGCCACGCGCTACTCAAAACGAATGAATACAAGCAAGCAATCGATTTCTTCATCTGTCGAACGGCGGCCTCCGAGCCATGAGCAGTTGGAGGCAAACGCAACGACGATCACTTCCAGAACGCGCTTGGGTTTTGAATCTGGAGTGCCAACAATGAGAGGCAGCAAGACAATCCTGAGTTGAGAATCCGGCTGTGGCTTCGAGCACTTACATAGAAGGCGGTCACGGTGCCAGCAGACTCGCCGTGGATCAGCTTCAGCTTGACGCTGAAGGAACCATACAGAAAGTAGTCGCTACTTTGAAAATTGGCACCTGCTCACAAAAATTTGTCCGAGAAAAAAATCAGTGAAATTCTCGATAATTGAATGACCGTCTTTCGGTAAGAGACTGACAGAATGGAGGGACGGGCAGGTAGGCAGGCAATCTTCGTACCTCCGGCTTTCGTCAACGACAGTTCGACCTCCTTCGAATCATCGTAGGCGAGAATATTATTCGACGACGACCAGACGACATTGAATTGGTCATCGAATTTCTCGTGCGCTAGAGCGCTCCCACGTAGAATTAAACTGAGGGACAACGCGAACACAGCGGCTGTGAAAGCGTGGAACCCCATCCTCGTCGTCTTCGTCGCTCGAGGACTCTCAACACTCGTTCGTATCGTGGCCGATAATAGGATGTACAGCGCAGGTAGGTCTGCGCTCTTTGAGCATTTATTTCTTCCGATTCCGATTCGAGACCGCTAAGCTTGACGTTCCTTACGTCTCCGGCGCGCTCAACTTATGCACTTGTGCGTTCCATGCATCGCAACAGCGACTGGATAACTGACGGCCTCGGCACAGCCGCAGCAGACGATGCACAAAAAATATTCACGGTCGCCTCCTTCGGCGCCTCACACAAGCACACGCCCTCGCCCTCGCTCTGAGAATTGCCACACGCAGGATTCAGCCTCGCGCCCTTCGTGCGAGAAATACTGCTCCAGTGGACCCGCTCTGCTTCTAGCTCCCCGCCCCGAGCTACCAGTCTCAGGAGCATGCCCCAAAAGAGGCTCTTGGGCTTTACCCGGACCTGGACCTGGACCTGCTGGAGATTCTAATCCGCCCTAGCACAATATGATACGAGATGTTCCCCCCGCCACAAGTAAAACTCGGCCAGAGGATAAAGCACTCCAGGATTAACTGAAAAAGTGCGCACCCGGGCGATCGTCGACACAGCCCCACCTCACCTCCCCTCCCCTCCCCCCGCCCCGCCCCGCTCGACGGTGAGTGAGCTCACAATCTGAATCTTTTGCTCAGCTCTAGTGTTTACCGTTGCCGAAGGTGCGACTCGCCGAGGCAGACGCAGCGACGAGCATCCGAGGTTGCTGCGATGCATACTGCCATTGTGGAGAGCATCAATTCACATGTATGCAGATGAGTCCCGGCTGACGAGTCACCGTTTCCAGCAGCAGCAGCAGAAGCAGCAGAGGAGTAGACAGCAAAAGGAAGTCGACAGCAGAGGCCAGCTCCAGAAGCTGCTCCTTGTCGTCGTCGCCGTCGTCAAGGGAAGGGGAGGCGAGACGAGGCGAGGCGATTAGGCCCCACCACCAGCTTCGCCGACTGCCTTGGCCTCATCTCGCCCCCCTCTCGTCGCCCGCTCGCTCCCTCGGCCCACGTGCGGTTTCCTTCATGCAGCCATCGCTCCGAAGGCTCATCGCTCTGTCTCTACGTGTCGACCTGCTGCTGCAGTTGTCTCTCTCGGGGCACCGCTGCGGTTTGCTGCCGCAGTCGGTCCTCAGCGAGAACCTTGTGCGCAGATGTTCTGGATTCCCGATCCAACGGCCCGAGGCCGGTCGCACCCGGCCGAGAGTTCGAACTCTGCCCTGCGAAGTTGGGTTGGGTTGGTTTCGTCTATTCGAACGCACGTCGTCGTCCTCGCCTCCGCTGCAGCCACCTGCGGTTATTTCGCGGGGCGGATCCTCACATTAGCCACGGGTGGTAACCGGGACGGGGCTACGCTCCCTCTGTTCCGCTTGTGGGGAAACCGCGTTTCCCCGTCACGTCGTGGTCTAGCTCCGCCAGTCAGTCGGTCCACGCCCGGCGTACCGTAGGCGACCGGGCGAACGACGACGTAGATCATGACAGTCGGCCTGTCGCGGTACTGTAGTCATACTCGTTCTGTACTCCGGATGGCATGACCACGACGTGGTGCCGAGCCCGCTGGCCGTCCTTTCTTTCGTCCCCCCTCCGAACCTTCTTCCGACAATTCCGGATGCGGACATGTCCTCCGAAGCGGTGTGCTTGCCTTTCGACCCCCTCGCTTTCTAACCGCTAGACGAGAATTCGCCTCCCACCCATTCGGGCATCACCACGACAACAGCTTGGTCTCTTGGTCCGCCCATGTCGTAGAGCTTTTGGATTCAAGAAAAAGGGAGCCAAGTGGATAGGAAATCCGATGGCAAGATCCCATGGGCAGGGAAAGCAGGGGCTCGCCCCGAGAGTATCATGATGATGATGAGAAGGCTTATGTGAAATCGATTCGTGGTTTATGAGGCGCTGGTTGTCGCCATTCGCCGACTACTGTCGACTGCCCACGTAGTACGTAATACGAGGAATCTGTGTCCCGGAGGCTACACGAGGTTTTCATACTATGGTGAAAGTCCATTGTTTCTCATCGCCGGTCCATTTGGCTGGCACTTTTTACAGTGGATGTTAATGAATGGTGAGGTGGGGTGAGGCCAGGAGTTGCAGTGCATGTCTGCTGCTGATAAAGGGTGTTCGTTGCACTCACCAAAGGCTATAGATTAATATTTCTTCGAATCGGGTGCCAAGGATGGCCAGTGCATGTTTTTAGGACAAAAAGAGATGTCTTCTTCTTGGAGCTGGTGAGGGGATTGAAGACTGCTTCGTCTTGTTTGTAAAATGCCCTGTCAAGACCTGATAAGCACAGGCCGCCATCACTGCTGTAAACATCAGCGTGTGTCGAATAAATATCTGTGGAGTGTAATGCTTGGGACAAACAAACATGTTCTCCTGCTACTATGTTTGGCATCGCTTGATGTGCTCGCCAGAATCGATATCCTCATAAATAGACTCCCGCGGGAGGTCTGCCTAAGCATCAATCGTCCGGAATAAAAAAGAATTCACTGCTCAGTGTGAGCAATTTGCTACTTTGTCAGACGGAATTCGTGTTCGCTAACATGGGAGCGATAGTTGTTAGAGAGCTCAACAGTGTAATCCATGCAGATAATAGCACTGAGCAGTGATCTCGGAACTGGAGTCGGACATCTCCTCTCCATCCTGTTCACTCACAATGATCAGCTCTCACCATAAAATACGTAACACCAATTACGCCGATGTGTGCCTCAGCATCTTTGAGCTAGATGGTTCTCGTAGGTCTTTGGAATTTATAGATTTCATAAAATACCAGATGTTGCACCAGCTATGATAATGCAACTGACCGTCAACCAATTGGCGGTGCATCGTTACAGAAGCAACAAAACATACATAGTCTCACGGGCCAATTATTCTATGCGATCGGGCATGGTAGGGTGTAAACTAAGATAAGACGGTGTCATCTTATTGAGAAATGCATTATAACCTCATTCTCTCGAATAAAACAAAGCAGTAGCAACAACCTCTGCCAGAGAGGTTTGTCCCTCCAATTGGGGTTGTTGAGGACAACTATGCCGACTTCTGATGTACTCTCTGATATATCAAGTAAGCATGCAGCATCCGAACGCCAAAATATGCATAGGTCGTACGTTATATGTGAAGTACAATCCTTGTACCCCAACTGTCTGTCGATTTAAACATGCTCGTTGCTGTCATACAGTCCTAATATAGATTGCTAATTCTTGCAAAAATCAAATCGAACATTTCTGAACGATACTGATATCATATCAGTATTGAGGCATAAACCTCCCTAAACCTTTGGCTTCGTATTTCACATGTGTGTTAAACTTCTTGACCAATCAATACGATGGTGGTGTGAGAATCCATGTACATACTGTACATCTTTCTCTGTAAATTTCCTAATTTAAATATGGTTTGCACCTGCGTTTTTGCAAATATGGTTTGCACCTGCTTCTTTCAAGGGCAAGTGCTAAGATTTCAACTTATGTTAAGGACTTGTTACTAACCAAAACGATACGCGTCATGATCGGATTGACTCATCACTACAGGGTGGCTGAGTAATTGAGCTCTCTGAGGAATTCGGATGAATGAGAAAATGCAATTCGAGATATTTTGTATCTATTTGAATGAGAGTTTTGACACAACAATTTATAATTTAGCTCAAAGACAGAAAAGATGTGTCATTTTTTTTGTTTAAAATTGTTTCGAATCTGGATCTGCTTCGGAGGACTATTCTACCCTTGTAGCTCAATTAAGGAAAATATATTTTGTGATAATATGAATGTAAGATAGGTACATTCTTGACGCTGAAGTCAATTTACAAATAAAAAACTTGTATCAAACAATTGTATGAAAGGCAGCTCCACGTGATCACACTCTTGTCTAATTTCTTCTTGTTTTATGTTAACTATGTGAACTATCCCAAAGACAGGGATTACTAAATGATTCATGGACTTTATTATTTCACCTAGAGACAAACATAATCAAATCAAACAGATAGATTGAATCTATATCCCAAATATATATTAAAAATTGACTGTGACAAAAACAAAATATAGGTGCATGGGTTGATGATGATGTATGTCATTAGTAATGCTTTATCGTGTGATCAGCAACAAATTAAAGATGTTGTGAGCCAACACAATGTCATGATTGTTTCTTGACTACATGTGACCAGATTAACAAGGCATGTCATGTCTTCGTTGACTGCAAACAATATCAAAGAGATATGCTCGAAGCGTATTTTCATTTTGAAGCAAATTCGAATAGGACATTATGCACTTCCAATGATGTTACCAGTACACACCAAAGTACAAATGTGCTCAAATTATTGATAAAAGACTAGTTCTTTGTGAAATCAAAAAAAGATTCCTAATTGGACTCAATGGTTATTACCTAAAGGAATTGTTATACTTTTTGTTTTGAGCAATTCTTGTTCCCATTATAGAATTCAGAATCATTGTATCTCGTAATATCACCACAGTAATGGGATGTAGAAGCAGATTTCTCGAAAAAACAAGGCATTTATCTTCCTCCATATCTAAAAGAAAACATTTTAAGTACAACTACTTTAAGTTAATATATCGAAAAACTGATTTGACTATATTTTTCACTTTAATTCCTTACCGTGTAAAAGAAAATATTTAAGAGAAGGAAATTTCAGAATACTTATCGATATGTTCGGTAAATACCAAAACGACTCAATACATAACGTACATGACATATGACTAGATTATTCAAAAGAATTAGTAAAATTAAAAATTTGGTTTATATGAAGAAATATCAAATCATTCTAGTCTAATGTCTTGCTACTAAATGGCATTGCAACAAAAATTCAATTTAACAAATTTTCACTTTGGCACTTATTGAACTATAGCAAATCAAGAAAAAAAAACAAATATTTATTTCATCATCATAAAATGTGAGAAAAAAATAACAATTTAAGCACTACTCTTTTTTGTAAGCTGATAGACTTTTCATAGTGGTTGTTAGAAATTAACTCAAGGTTCTTAACTACGTTAGGTGGACTATTTAGCATTTGTTGCGTTGTGTTTGTTTCATATGGAGATTCCATGAGCTCTTTCTCTTGAATATAACAAGGATGACAAGAGCAAAACAGTTAAAGTAAAGTAAGTAAGAAAAAAACGTGTTAACAAGGCAGAGTAACAATGTGAACATATTCATGTTGTCATAAAGCTACTGAAAAATTATGATGATTTCTGTCATTTCCTAGTCTGTTGATACATAAGATGTGATTAGACCAAGATCGATCAAAATTTAGTAGTGACAAGAAGATGAGTGTTTTAAGATCAATTTGATCTCTCAAGTTGATGATAAGAGTCTTAGAAATTTTACATTATAATACAAAAGAACTGAAGGATTATGAGATTGAAATTGTGATGATGTGGAGTTATTAATAGAAATTGACACAATTTTTTAAAAATGCCATTGCTTAAAAATTGTGTGATCAATGATTCTGTTCCATAAAAATCACTCTCAAATTAGAATACTACATCATTTGATGATAGTGTTTGGCGGCCGATGATTTAGCGGTGATGATTCGGACAATTTTTTTTCATTGTTTCCTATGATATAATTTGAATATTCATAACATATGTTTGACGTTTATATTCATATTGTAAGTTTTAACATGTTAATTGTTGCATCTTTCAGCATGTAAATTTGAATATTAATTAAATTTGTTCCAAATTGAGTCATGAAAATTTTATTAGTCGTCATGAAAAAGATATTATTCTTAAATAATAGATTTTTGAATATTTTTTAACGATATTTTTACTTGAATGGTTTTAAATAATGATTTTGAAATTGATCAAATTCAACATATATTGTTAATATTATGAGTAAATAGTATTTTTTGAAATTTAAATTCCAAATAGAATCAAAATGATTTTGAACTTATTTGAATTTGAAGTTGAGTATTTTTTTTCTCAACTTGATAAACCATTTGGATCAAAAAACTT